CTATCACAAAGTCGATTTTTTTTTCTGAAATAGCGTTGGTTCGAATTTTCATTACACCGAAAACCGAATTATAAAGAAACCGATGTTCTTTCAGGATATGTTGGATGTTTATCGCAAAGACACGATTAGGTTCGGTGAGGTGAGGTTAAGTTAGGTTTAAAAGAAAACCCCCTCGACTGTGCTGCAACCTTGTCACAGGGCTTGCGTGCTCTTATGACCTCCCAGGCTATGCCGGATAGCGCTTCGCGTACCGGACAAGCTTGTGGGGGAGGGGCCGGACTAGAGAGCGGCACATCCTGCGGTGGACCCACTCCCGGTACCACTCTGATTAGCAGAACAGACTGGGATGTGGTGGAAGCGCTGCCTGTGGTCGGTGCAGAAGCGGGGCTCTTTTTAGAGCACGTGTAACCCTCGTAACCCAGCCTGTGTGCGTCGAGCGCGAGAGTCGTCATCAAAGATAGGGACCACGAGGAACGAAAACCTCTATAAAAAACCAGGGTTCTACCGCACCCTTAGCTTGTAATGGTCAACTCCAGTCGGTTTGAGTGAGCATGAGACTGGTTTTGCGTGAGTTCTGGTTGACCCGGTGCTGCATGTAAAATTTATAAGCGAGGAGAAGGAAGGCCTTCCTTCTCCTCGCTTCCTTCGCCTTACACACAACGAAAACAAGTTTCAAGTAGAAATAACCGGATGCTTTATTTTAAATTTACTGTCATAACATGTTACATATGTTATGGTTAAATGTAAGGGTACAGTATGAAGAACTAGTATTTTACTTCCCCGAGTTTACATTAGGAGTTTACAGATATGCTTACTGCTCTTATCAGTTACATATAAAAGGTTAACTTTAAGTATACTTAGAGCTAATACACTGCATTAAGAGTTTTTGAAAGTACATGAGTGGCACATGGACACGTCACTTATACGTTACTGACCTGGAGGTTACCGAATGCACTTTTAGGTTACATACCAGACCCGCTGCGAAGACAGCGTAGTTTCTACAGGAGTAACGCAGTTATATGTAGATGCCGACCACCCGTGGAGCTTATGACACGTGGTCGGGAACAGTCGAACAAAAGTTACGGCGCATTTGTCTCAGCCATGCAGTTGATGGCGAGATTTTAAATTGCAAGTGTACCAAAGAAACAAACCCTACAACAATACAGATTGTTACAGTACATTGAAATAAATGACGAAACGTCTAGCGAAGGAAAGAATCCAGAGGTCATCTCACCATGCGGTCCGGTGACACGGGTTTACATCTGGTACAGGGTTCGGATACCCATAATTACGGCATCTGGCTATACCTGGTTTTCCTTATAAAAGAAGGCATTGGGGGACTATGTCCTCAATGGGATAAATCACCGCAGAAGATGTGAAAATCAGGAACACCTTACGAGCCGATGTGTCGAATAGAAAAAAACCAGGTTCAGGCGAATTCCTCCTAAGAGATGTTACCCGCGAACAACGCCACAGACAATCTACCGATTCATCCAGATGAAGCTCCCAAGTCTTATCACCTAAACCCGCTAGAATACAGGGAGATTCCAAGTTTACGTATATTACTTAATAGAAAGTACTTGGCAAACTAATTGGCGGCGATCGACATGGAAATATTAAAGATAAGCTATAATTTACATGAAGCTCGACTACAGACGTAAAATCGAGTTTATTGGTACGCAGCACTAGTATTCTGCGTTACCATAAAAGAAAATTAGCCAGGGTTGGTGTTTTCAAAAATACGTCAAACTAAAGGGTTCACCCCTTCACGATATTGATTTTAAAGAAAAATCGTTCACCAACAAGTAATATACATGTGAATGGTTTAAATAATAGATTACACCAACACTTAAGAGTTTCAAGTAATTTACTAAACATTTTTAAACTATAAAGTCAAAGTGACATTGTGTACAAGAATGGTGAAAAATACCAAGGAGAGACGATAAATTTTGTTTTAGTTTTGTATTTACGAGATCTTCCAAAAAAAAATGTGTTACAATCTACCTGGATGCGGGTCGCAGCGTGTCCAGTACCGAGCTTGGGCTAAATAAGTTATGCGACCGAAAGGGCCCGGTTTGGATTAGCGGCCAGCCGGAAGTGTACACACTACACTTGTGTGGCGAACGGATGGGCGTAATCTGCTTATGCAATCTTATGCAATCCATGGCGGAGTGGAGTATAAACGTGGCGGTAGCAGTGGAACCCTATTTCGTCCTCCCCAACCTAACTGGGCAGGAGGCACAGAAGGTGTCGTAGTAGTGGTGGCGTCAGCATCAGGCGACACCCCCCTCTAATCATGAAGGAACGTGGGCCAGGGTATGTGGCGGTCATCTGGGGGGAAACTGTTCTGATTGGGACCTACTTTTCCCCAAACCGTACACTAGTCCAATTCGAGCAGTTATTGGAGATATTGGAGAGGGTAGTAAAGAGGGTCGCTCCGGTCGCATAGGTCCTACTGATGGGGGACCTGAACGCGAAGAGCATCGCGTGGGGGTCGCCTGCCACCCCCACTGTCGGCGAGATTTTTAACTTGAACGGAAGCGAGACTTATCTCATCTGTCCGCTAGGTGTCACTAGTTGGATGACGTTGGCTCGCCTTTGCGCGCGAGTAAAGGTATGTGTGGGAAAGGGAGGGAACAAGGAAACAATTATTGATTCAATCAAACCATTTCTAATACAATTCAAATATTAAATCGTCCAAATTTTGCGAGGTAAAATCAAAATGCTATTTCGACGCAACCAGTATTAATAATGCTAGTGGAATAATTTCACAAAAATATGTAAGTATCATGATAAAAAAATCATGATATTCAATATATTTATTATATGAAGCCATGGTAGCCTAATGGTTTGACGTACCCCCTCTCAAGAAGAGGCTATGGGCTCGAATCCGACTCTCGTCTCTGAGTTTCTCGGAATTTATGTGCTAAATTGAATTTGAAATTTGCCATGAGCTTTTCGGTGAAGGAAATGATTGTGACGAAACCAGCACGTCGAAGAAGTTTCTCAACTCTCGGAAAATATATGAAGTCCCCAAGTCGCGTTCAATCTAGGTATCATGAAAAGCCCTTTGTACAAAGCATGGAGGAATAGGAAACGCGCACATCCTACAGCAATGAAATACTTTGAAGAACCGCGGTCACTCACCTAGGTCTTCATCAAACTCAGGAAGGCGCTAAGGTTTTTCGATGACCTTGGGTGGCACGAGTAGGACCCTGCACCCACCACACGCAAAATAGGCGCCTGGACGACGAGTTGCGGACAACAGCCCGTTACAATATACCATGGCCTAAAACTCTCGCCTGAATGGCGACCCGTTCCAGCAGTGGGATGAATAAATGGGTTGATGATGATGTTGATGTTCCAAATATTCCATAAATAAATATTAAATGTAAGCTACTTTGTGCATCTAAGAAATAAAATAAAAGAAAAAAATAACAAACATCCAGCACCGCTTAAATTGAAACGTCGTCGTTTTAGTATTTGGGTGAAACATTATACTGCTTCAGTAGTTACTGCTGAGCTTAGCAGAGAGAAAAGGGCATTGTTACACAGAATGGGCCTTTAGGGGACGGCGACCTGTAATTGCTACGAATGCATATCCACTCGGTTTACTGGAAAGTCCGTTTGAAAAGCTATATTTGCCAACCACAGTTCAACTTGTATGTACTGATGACGAGATGTACGACTAACTAAGCAACTAAAATGTTAAATATACAAAATTGGGTTGGGTAATAAATAAATATTAGACAACCTCGCTTACTTTGCTCTGATCACAAAGTGACTAAAGCACTTGTATTATGGAAATCGGCAACAATGACGGTATCACAAACATCCACATCCCAGACAATAAAGAAAAGTTATTTTTCTACATTGCCCCGGCCAGTGATCGAACCCGGGATTTCTCTAAGGGCGCTGGATGAAGAGGACCCGTGATCAATTCCTGGTAGGACAAAATTCGGAAATAAATTGTCTAAATTGGCTCTGGTCTAAGCGTTCAGGAGTGAATTTCATTTTTATGATACTCATAGCACAAAAAATTCCCTACTTTGAGAACAAGTCATTGGTATGATTATCTGGCACATACTTATTATTATAATAGTGTTCATAATGCATAA